CAATGAACAGTCACTCTCATAGAAGGCCATAGATCCCTTTGGAGAAGGACAGGAGAAAGAATAACAGTATAAATTTTTGGCAGTGTAGTGGTCTTCTTACTCAAGGGGATCCGGCTTCCCCTTCATTCAAGGGGTTGTGGGTCTGTAAACTGGCTCAAGTCTGAGAATTGATTGCGAGACTGTGACTTTCTAGTCTGGCGATTTGAGTTAGACTTCCATTCATTTGACCTAGAATTTTTCTGCTTGTACAGATCAAGTAAATATTTAGTAGATTTCCATCTATTTTACTCTTGGGGACACCATAACTAAGTAGCCAATGCCCTAAGTCCATACAAGTCAGACTATTCTGATTACTGCTTTGATTCTGTTGTCCATTACAATAACCATACCCACCTAGTCTTTGGTGATTAAGTGCCACCACTTGGCCCCTACCACCCCAGGGTCCAATCAGCCCCAGTGTAGTTAGGTGTCTTAATTCAGTTAGGGCAATTCTCACTGTCAAATCTGACTTCTATAAAATAGCAATCACAGCAGTCTTCAAGGATGCTAGGGCTCCCTTCACAAATTTGTTCCTCACAGTTGTAAAAGGTGTGTCACCTAGGCACTGCATGAGTGGGTCTGTGGGTCCAACCTGATAAATCCACTCTAGCATGCCCATTTCCCTAAGCCTTTAGATACTTTCTTCTACAGTATACCAAAGCAGATCTGACATTCCAACTTGATTTAGTGTAGGCCACTGCTAATCCATGCTTCAGTGAACCGACTAAATAAACTATGAGATCCTTTCCCAACCTCTCGAGCTGAAACACTGAATGAAGAACCTGTGCTCAGACTGATCCAACTTTATGTTCCCTGCATCATTATCCCACATCCTTAATATCCATTCCCACACATATTCCCTAGATTTCTATTTATGTATATAAGAAAAATCAAGCAGTTCTTTTGGAGTATGTGCTTCACCTCTTGGGGCTTGCTGCGACTTAAGTCTACTTACAGTTCTGAAGGAAAAATAGGTGGTGGGGTGGGTCATGGGGACATTCAGCAATGCCTTGTGAGGCATCTACCTCAGGCAATGCCCCAGGCAATATCCCAGGCACCACCCCAGGTGATACAACAGATAAAGACTCTTCAGGCACAGCTGGGTTAATCTCATCATATGGGGGAGGAAAGGATAATGGTTTCACTGGGGAGAGTGGCTAAGCCAACAAAGATGGAATAATCTCTTCAGATGGGAGTAAAAGGGCTGGTTCTGTTGGCAGGAATGATTCAACAAAATTTAGGGGCTCAAAGTCCCCAGCATTCTGATTATCTGCCCACATGTCCCCATCCCAAGTTTCAGGATCCCATTTCTTCCCAATCAGTGCCCTCACTTTAACTTCAGACACCATTCAAGGTTGGGAATTCAGTTGGCATTATAATCCAGCCAATCTTACAATAAGACTCTGGTTTGGGTTTTGGCAAATAAATAAGGCTTTATTTAACGGCACAAGTGGCAAGTTTCACGTTTTTTATGTGGTGCTTGAGCTGTGACTCTGAATCCCTGAATTCATCTTTTTCTTTCATCAGCTTGTCTAGCAAAAGTAGGACCAAGTAACAAGCTTCCTTATACTTCTCATTCTTACAAAACTGTAAAGAAATATCAAATATGCAATCACCCAGAACCTTGTCTCTTACAAATATCTGATCCATTGGTGGTGATATTTTGCATATTTCTATTGCTACCCATGCCATTGATTAGCAGTGCTCTCTTTACTACCGGAGGCAGAGTCATTCAGGGCCTTTAGGACTAGCCAGACTTGAAAACCAATTCAGAAAACGTCTCCTTACAATTTCATTCCTCTAGAACCACTCTCCGTACAAATATCTAAGACTGGGTTCTCAAGAAAAGTAAAATCAGAGAAACATACATATATATAAATGTACATAGACTGGTCTATGTTGCTTAGAAGGGAGCCCTGGTGGTGCAGTGGTTAAAGCACTTGGCTGCTAACTGGAAGGTTGGTAGTTCAAACCCACCAGCC